TGTGTGTGTGTGTGTGTGTGTGTGTGTGTGTGTGTGTGTGTGTGTGTGTGTGTGTTTCCCATCAGAACTAATGACCAGAGTCCTGGGAACTTTGATTTCACTGTGCTGGATAAAACTTCCTTCAAATAGTTGCTCTGTAACCTGAGCAACAAACTGGGATAGAATAAAGGACCACCGCTCATTCTGTTTAACCCTTCTGTGGAACACAGAACTCCAATTGGTGGATAAAGAAAAAGATCCCTAAGCTTCCTTTCCACCCCCACAAAATGTTTTTTATTTGCCATGACTAACTGAACCCACAAACACAAAATTTGTTTAAGCTGCAGTATGAGGTAAAGTAACCAGTAAAAACAGAAACCAAATTAGCCAGTAACTCAGACCACCTTTCTTAGGGATGGGATGATGCAGATTAAGCCTGTGGGCCGTCTGGAGGACTTCACTGGCCCCAAACTACCTTTCGTCATGGTATGGGAGAAGCCTGGAGTCCTGGAACCCCCAGGGAGTATGTGTAGAGGAACCAGATTTGGGAACTTTCATCTGGAAAAGTCCTCAACTCGGTGGTTACTTTCACCAATTCCTGAGAAAACTGTGCAGAGTCAGAATCTTTAGAGCAGTCAGGGAGAGTTTTGCAAAGGATTTTCTGGTGTGTTTTTCTCAGTCCTTGTGCATAGAGAATATTTTGTATGGCTTTAACAAATTAATAAAAGTAACACATACTCTTAGCAAAGATTTCCAAGTGAGCAGAATCACCATGGTAACCACTAATTCACTGCTTGCTGAGTATCCTTACAGACCTTTAACTGGACATATGCAAATATACCAAGCCATATGTTTAATTGTGCAGATGGAACTTAAACATTACCAAATAGATTACTCTGTGAATTCCACCCAGGAATACATGATGGGCAACTGTCATCAGCTCAAATGCCAATTTTTATTTTTATTATTTTATTTTTCTTAGAGTAAAGGTCTTACCCTGTCACCCAGGCTGGAGTACAGTGATGCAATTATAGCTCACTGTAACCTCGAACTCCTGAGCTCAAGCAGTCCTCTTGTCTAAGTCACCCAATTACCTAGGACTGCAGGTGTGCGCCATTACCTTTGGCTAAATTTTTTAAAAAATTTTTATAGGGATGAGGTCTTGTTTTGTTGCCTAGGCTGTTCTCTTGGCCTCAGGCTGTCCTTCCACCTTGGCCTCCCAGAGTGCTGGGGTTACTGGTGCGAGCTACTGGGTCTGGCCCTATTTTTCTCCAGTGGTTGTATGGTATTCTGTAGATTGGACATGTCTCAAATTTATTTAATCATTTCACAGGCAGGCTTAGATGGTAAACCTATCCTACGTGTTTGTAGGTGGCATTTTAGAAGTGAAGACACTGGGAGTGGGGAGAATTAACCAGGTTGCAAAGCTGCCTAAGCATTTTAACACCCCTGTATTTTAAAGATTTTTAGATTGTATGGCAGTGGAAGCATGAGCTAATAATGAATTGGAAGGCACGAGGGTCTTGTGTTAAGTAGAGGTGCAGAGGCCAGACATCAGTGCTATGCAGAGGCATGGGTGGGAGGAGAGGGCAAGACTTTCTACCCCAGGGACGTCATCCAGCCTCCAGGACAGCCTGCTTCTTTCAGAGCTGCCTCCCTCTTACTGAGACTTCATAGACCCAGGCTGAGGGTGCTGGCCCTAAAAGTGGGTGGGCTTTCTCCTGACTGCCTGCTCAGATTCCATTAAGAAAGCCAGAGAGCACGTGGAGTAAGTCTGAGCAAGGTGGCCACCGAGGGGTGTCAGTACTGACAGTGGACTTTGCCTGGGCCCTTACTACACTTCGTATTTGATTAGAGAAATGACTTTGAAACCTGGGATGACAGAGCTGCAGGTCAAAGTGAAACTTGGTCTTCTAGAAGTCTTGACAGTGGCCTGGCACAGGCTGCTTCTGCTTGGATCCAGTCATGTGGTAGGGCATGCTTCTGTGGCTCATGCAGGGTGTGGAGTGGTGAGCCGACTGCAGACATGGGAAAGGAGTAGTTTGGGATTAAATGGGATTTCTAGAGCATCTTTTGGGATAGAGAGGTGGGCAGGATCATATGTGGAACATACACATGTGCACACACGTGCTGTATGCTCCGGTAGCAGCTGGACTTGGCAGCTGTGTGATGCTTGGTGACAGCCCAACTGTCCCAGTATCAGGTGAGCTAGTGACCAAGGTTCTGAAGGCCCTGGCAAACCAGAGGGCCTTGGTACTAGTGGGAAGAGTGAGGGCTCTGGGGTTGGAAGGGCTCAGACAGGCTCAGGTTGAAGTCCTGACTTACTCTGCCACTAGCTGGGTGACTTTGGGTAGGTTAAGCTCTCTGAGGCTCAGTTTCCTCATTTGTAAAATGAGATGATGGTGGCTCTGGCCTCGAGGTTATTGTGATCAATAAAAATAGGCTGAATGCCTGTAGTTCCAGCTACTTGGAAGGCTGAGGCGGAAGGATCGCCTAAGCCCAGCAGGTCGAGGCTGTGAGCATGCTGCTGCACTCCAGCCTGGGCGATAGAGTGAGACTCCAACTCAAAAAAATAAAGTAGGCTGAGGCCACAGTAGACTTCAGGGAGTGTTCATTCCCTTCTCTTACTTTCTCCCTTCTCCTTTGTCCCTCTAACTTCTCAGTTTTTAGCCAGAGAGCTACAGCTAAGGGTCTTCCCTTTTGCCACCAGCCGCTATTGCTCAGACAGTGAGGGAGTTGTCTGGAGACCAAAGCTTCCAGAGAGGCTACACACGCTTTTGGGTGCTGGCTATTCCTGCCTAAGGCCCTGCTGGACAACCCACTTCCTGGATGTGGACACTCCTGGGTCCTTGGCCCACAGTGGAGGAGACACCGTCTCCCTGAGTTGGGAGTCCTTGAATGAACCAGTCAGTATCGGGGGCTTCCCTGTGACAAGCTGTTAAGAGCATTTTCCAGACCCTGTGATCTCCCCTCACCACCCTGTCATGGTGGAAATAAACAAGGAGGCAAGTGGCTCTGGAAGTTCCAAAAGTGAAGAGCTGACTCGGTGGGGGTGGGGGTGGGGAGTCAGGGTCTACTGCTGCCCTGTGGTGAGCATAGGGAAGTATGTTCCAGTGTCATGAAGGGTTTGCAACAGGACTTGGGCTGAACAGGGAGGAGCTGATGTGACACTCAGGAGTCATCTAAGTAAACTTCTCTTTCTGAATGCCCCTCAGGGTCTAGCACTGGGTCGATCCTAGTCCTTACTTCGTGACATGCTCTTGTTCATGCAGATGCCCTGCTTTTTCTTGTCTGTCTCTAATGATGTCTTTAAGTCTGTTTTAATGCAATGTAAACAATGGTTTGAATATGTTTCCACTTTTGCAAAGCTGAACTAAGTGGATTTTTTTTTTTAACCTTCATTTTAGCATCTATGTCGTGGGCTTGGTCTTGGAGTGGATTAAGAACAACGGAGGTGCCGCAGCCATGGAGAAGCTAAGCTCCATCAAATCCCAAATGATTTATGAGATTATTGATAATTCTCAAGGCTTCTACGTGTAAGTTAATGGATTTTCTCTCACATTTTGCCTCTTGTGAGTTTAAAACCATGTGGATACTGTGTACCTTTGAAAAATGGATGCGTTTACCTTTTTCTAAGATGTTGAAGTGCTGATGAATGTGGATGGTTCTGGACCCCAAGAGCAGGGGGTGAGCTCTTCCCTCCCGCACCTGTGTCCCAGTGGGTGGTGACATTTCTCACACCAAAGACATCACCTGGGGAAGAATCTGTTTACCCCTTGGGATAGATTCCTTCTCCTGCTTTCTCTGTGTGTCTCCTAGGAAAAAACTCATGTACTCTCTGGAAGGCCTCAACTTAAAGACTTCTGTTAGAGATCCTTGGGTTAGACACGCACTACTGACCCTCCTCCTTCGGGTTATTTCCCTTTTTAAGAAAGTCCGACAAGGCTCGGTGGCTCAGCCTGTAATCCCAGCACTTTGGGAGGCCGAGGTGAGTGTATTGTTTGAGCCCATGGGTTTGAGACCAGCCTGGGCATCTTGGTGAGACCTCGTCTCTACAATAAATCAAAAAACTAGCCAGGTATGACAGCACACGCCTGTAGTTCCAGCTACTTGGAAGACTGAAGCAGAAGGGTCACTGGAGCCCAGCAGGTCAACGTTGGGATGGCCGTGAGGTGCTACTGCACTCCAGCCTGGGCAATAGAGTGAGACTCCCACTCACACACACAAAAAAAGTCCACCGCTTTCCTTATTACAGGACAAATGCGCCCATGTAAAGTTTGTGAATGGAATTGGCTTTGGTGTGAGTTGACTCCTTAAATATTTTCATGGCTGAATGGTTAGTGAACATGTGACCACTGGCCTAGCACTTGGGAGGGCTACAGGAAATGTATGGGTCTCGTATTAGCTTCATAGGGATGCTGTAACAAAGAACCACAGACTTGGTGACTTAAATCAACAGAAATTTATTTTCACAGTTCTGGAGGCCAGAAGTTCAAAACCAAGGTGTCAACAGGGTTTTGCTCCCTCCAGACTCTAAGAATCTGTTCTTTACCTTCTGGTGACTCCAGGTCGCCCTTGGCTTGTGGCTGCATCACCCCAATCTCTGCATGTATCATGGCCTTCTTTTTGTGTTTTCCCTTCTGTCTCTTGTAAGGACAGGTCTTTGGATTTAAGCCCTGCGCAGATAATCCAGGATAATCACATCCCAAGATTTATAATGTAATCACACCTGCAAAAGCCTCCCCCCCCCCCTCAAATAGGTCATAATTACAGATATGGGGGTGTGTGGGAGATAGGACATGGGCATACCTTTTCAGGTGCCACCATTCAACCCACTATAATGGATACCTCACCAAGCTGCCAGATGTGAAGCTCCTAGTCACAGGGAAGCGTAACAGATGGTATCTTCACCTGCTTTTCCCTTCTTAAGGTAGACAGAGGCTCACAAAGACCAGACTTGATGCTGTGTGCATGTGTGTGTGTATTGATAGTGTATGTGTGTATTGATAGTACTCACATATATAAACACTTATATTCACCAGGCTGAAGGTGGTCATTACTCTTTGGGGTTCAGTCTGTTGTAACAAAGATATCTGCCTGATAGTCACTGGGGATTTCACACTGTTTTTGCGAATTCAGTGACCACTTGAAGACACCCAAAACGATGCCACCCTCCTAACTTAGAATTGCATTTTTTAGCCAAGACTTCCTCATACATATCCATAACTACCCATGGGTGGGGAAGTGGAGGTGTACTTTTTGGACAGCATGCTGCTGCCACTTCTATCCTTAAAATGTTTGTCGCCTGCTCCTGTGAGTTCTTGGCATGCAGTGGCCCTCTAGCCACAAGCCCAGGGGGAGTTGGACTTGGCTGGATGCCTTGGTTTTTGGGTCCCTCCCCCATGTGCCGTCTGGGAAAAGGAATGCACACTCTACATTCCTGCCTGCTCTGTGGTTCTATGCAACAGAGAAGCACATGCAGGCAGGGGGTCGGTCCTGGAGAAGCTTCCATGCTAGACCCTGATGTGTGAGTGGGGAAGCCAGGATACTGCCAGTGCTTGCTAGAGTCAAGGAGTTCATAGCCAAGGGCTAAAGAATGTGGCAGGAGCTTGGAAGGGCGATACTATTGGGTTTGGGAATGAAGGGAGAGTTGATAGATGAGCTTGAGCCTTGAGCATGAGTGGAATTAGGCCAGAGAAGAGGGGAGGGCAAAAGTACTTTTAGGAACTTTTAGGTAGGCAGGGACCACTCCCACAAAGGCACTGAGGGAGGACCGTACAGTGTGTGTGGGGAGGAGAGCGTGGGCTGCTTGAGGGGATGGCTTGTGTTGGGATTAAAAGGAATGGCTGTGGAAAGGTCTGAGGACATGTTTACTCCACCTGTTTATCCATCTATTTGTCTATCTACCCATCAGTCCATCTACCTATCATCTACCCACTTAACCCATCCTTCCGTCCGTCCGATCATCCATCCATCCAACAAATGGCTCCTGCGTATCCACTCTGGGTTAGCCATTTTCTAGGCTCCTGGGAAAAATAAGTTATCTTCCCTGGCTCCCTAAAAGTGCTCAGAACCTGAGTGTAAGTGCAGGCACTTGGGTTATTGTGAAGGGATTAATTTTTCTTTCTTTCTTCTTTTTTTTTTTTTTGAGTCGGAGTCTCACTCTGTTGCCCAGGCTGGAGTGCAGTGGCACACTAACAGCCACCACAGACTCGACCTGCTGGGCTCAGGCGATCCTTCAGCCTCAGCCTTCCAAGTAGCTGAAACTACAGGCACGTGCCACCACGCCCGGCTAATTTTTTGATTTATTGTAGAGATGAGGTCTTGCCAAGTTGCCCAGGCTGGTCTCAGACCCGTGGGCTGAGGCACTCCTTTCACCTCGGTCTCCCAAAGTGCTGGGGTTACAGGCTTGAGCCACCACGCCCGGTCTGGGATTAATTTTTCTATTAGCTTTTGGCTCCAGATATTTCTCAGGAGATGTATAGGTGTGAAGTTGCAGGACAGGAAGAATAGTGACACCTCTGGAAAAAAATTCAGGGAATTAGAAACAAAATTAGAAAGCATAGAAGGAACTTTGGGAATCCCCTGCATCTTCCCCATCCCCAGGTCCTTTAATTTCAGGCACCTATCCTGGGCCTTTTCCGGAAGGCAGCCTGCCGAGCTCCCATGGCAGGCGGGTCATCTCCTGGGGAGTCTGATCACCCTTCACACCCAGAGTTCCTCACTCACTTATGAGCTGCCTTGAGCCAGGACTTGAGTCCTCTTCAGAATAAACCTCTTTCTGGGAACTTCATCACCCCCTTGGCTGCCTGCCTAGAAAATGTCATCCAGGGTTCACGATGTCCTGTGGGACTTTGTTACTGGCATGAAGAGCAGGCTTTACTGTGTCGTTCCTCTGTTGACAGCTGGAGACTCTCTAGCTATTCCTGAACTCACTTGGGTTTTCAGGAATTTCTTCACTTTTCTTTTGAACTAAGGAAATAGTTCAGCAACATGACCCCTAAGGGGAGATGGGCAGTTTTAAAGAGGAATATAGAGTAACCAACCTAGAATTTTCAATTTACTACCATCTTTGCTGCTAATTGATGTCTCTGAGAAGATGCACCCCTTCCACCTTCCACTTCCCCTGACTCGTAAGGCAGCTCCTTTACTGAACACAGTTCCGGGCAGTTTGCTGAGAGTTGCACGAGCTCTGCCATTGACCTTGGCAGGAAACTCTGAGACTAGATAATACAACCATTGAAACCCTTGAGTTGGTTCCATATCCTAACCACCCACGCAGCACTGCCTGACCCGGAGTTGAGCATCTTGGGCTTAGACGCCCCACTTTGTCATTTATTAATACGTGACCTTGGGCAATGACCCAACTGCTCTAAGCCTTAGTTTCTTCATCTGTACAGTTGACATAATAGGGATGCAAACCTCTTATGACTGTCATGAAGATTCAATGAAAGTATACGTGAATAAAGAGTGTATAATGCCGAAATTGAGAGCATGGGCTCTTGTGCTGGTTAATTTTTTTGTATAAAGCACTAGCGGCCAGGCTCGGTGGCTCAGCCTGTAATCCCAGCACTTTGGGAGGCCGAAGCAAGTGGATTGCCTGAGCCCATGGGTTTGAGACTACCCGGGCAACTTGGCAAGACCTCATCTCTGCAATAAATCAAAAATTAGCTGGGTGTGGTAGCACATGCCTATAGTTCCGGCTACTTGGAAAGCTGAGGCGGAAGGGTCACCGGAGCCCAAAAGGTCGAGGCTGCGGTGGCCAGGATCGTGCCACTGCATTCCAGTCTGGGTAACAGAGTGAGACTCCAACTCAAAAAAAAAAAAGGCACTAGCAACAGCGTTTGGCACATGGGGAACATTCCTTACCTGTTAGCTCTTAATATTATTATTTGTGGTTATTATTACACAAAACAATTAGGATCCAGACACACAGTGCTTAACACATAATAGATATTAATTTTCTTATTTTAAAGCTATCCAAGTAACAGATTTCGTACTGGATCTGAGGCTCCCTTTGTCACCTTATGTGGGAACCAGACCTTAGAATAAAGAGAAAGAGGCATGTGATGGGTCTAGTGAAGACCCTGAAATAAAATGAAGCGGGCAGAGTCCTAGGCACTTTCCACATATGAATGAATTTTGTTGTCATCACAACCCTGTGAAGTAGACATTAAGCTTATTTTAGAGAGGCTCAGACAGGATAAGTTTGCAGCTGGGAAGTGGGATCAACCAGGTTATGAACCTGGGAGTGTGGGGGTGTCCTGAGGGGTTCGCTCCAGAACCTGTGCTGCTTTTTAAGTCTAGGAGTGCAGAAGACTTTCCTAAAGAGGCCATAAAATTCAGAAGTCATCAAGTAAAAAATGATATATTTAATTGCATGAAAATTTAACCGTTGTAAGACATCATCAACACACTTAAAAACAAATGACAGACATGAGAAGGATTTTGTAGTATATAACATTTAAAGGTTCCTAGCCTTAATACAGGCAAGAGGCCACAGATGAATGAAAAAGGATAACAGCCGGGCTCGGTGGCTCAGCCTGTAATCCCTCGCTTTGGGAGGCTGAGGTGAGTGGATTGCCTGAGCCCGTGGGTTCGAGACCCGCCAGGGCAAGTTGGTGAGACCTCATCTCTACAATAAATCAAAAATTAGCTGGGCCTGGTAGCACGTGTCTGTAGTTCCAGCTACTTGGAAGGCTGAGGCAGAAGGATCGCTGGAGTCTAGCAGGTCGAGGCTGTGGTGGCCAGGAACGGTCACTGCACTCTAGTCTGGGTGACAGAGTGAGACTCCAATTAAAAAAAAAGTGAAAAAGGATAACAATAAAAATGGGGGCAGAGGGTAGTTGCTAACTATATGTGCAATCAACTCAGAAGAAATACAACTGTCGCATGGACAAATGAAAAGTTGCCAACTTCATTAGCTCCTTAAGAAATGTAGATTAAAACCATAAGATAGGTTTTACTTTTATCTTCAGAAATCAAAAAGATTGATAACATCTGGTGCCGGCAAGGGAACAAACACACTCTTGCTGGGAGTATAAATCTGGAGAGATTTGGAGCAAAGTTTGTAGCACCTATCAAAATGCAAAATTCACATGCACTTTGACCAAGGGTTTTTATATGTATTCTCCCTGGGTGTAGTGGTGTGTGTACTTGCTGATGTGCCAGCAATTCCAATGTAGAATGGGATGGTGTGAATCCGGAGACGGCCCATGTGCCCATCATAGGGGTGTGATGAAAGAAATTAGGATCCGTTGATGGTGTGGAATAACGTGTGTTGAGAGGGCTGAAGCAGATCGCTGTGCAGATACAGGAAGATAACCATGTGTCATCAGACCAAAGTGGGGGTGAAGCAAGTGTAGAAAAAGATGTGTCTATTAGCCTTAAAAAAAAAAACCCACCAATTATATTTGTAAATACTACATATATGTATATATACATACACTTATGTATGCACTGAATAAAAAGGGGAGCAGAAGGTAGTTGCTAACAGTATGAGTAAACAACTCAGAAGAAATACAGTTACCTCGTGGACAAATGGAAAGTTACCAACTTTTTGTACATCTAAAAAGATCCTGAAGAATGCATACCAGACCACAAATAGTAGCCACCTCTGTGGGAAGGGGATGACAGACCTTCATTTTTACTCTAGATTTTCATAATTGTATACAGTTTTAAAATTTATTTTGTAATTGACAAAACCAGACACTAAGGAGAGGCCTCCGATTGTAACTGGTGGGCTTTTCTCTCTTCGTGCACTTTCTTCTTCATTCCCTGTGTTTCTGACACATCCCTTCAAAGGGGACAGACTGTAAAATGAATATCTGGTTGTCCCCTGCCCACTTCCTGTGACTTCTTAAGCGCCCTGACCCTTACCACCTTTGTGAGACCGGTGACTCTGTCTGAAGCTGTACCTTCTCCCTCGCGATACCATGGGAAGCCCTGGCATTTCTTGGAAGCGACTCTCTGGAACATCTGTCCCTGAGATGGAAAGAGCTTTTCGGTCCAATGTGTTTTACCTCCTGGGGTTTCTTATTTGCACAAGGAATGCATGAGAAGCTTCAGGAAGTCAGGAGCAAAAAGACCTGTTAACACAGTGTTTCCTAAATTTCTCTGACAGGAACACCTGTTGGCATCTTTTGTGTCAGTGGTCCACTGTAGATTTTAGGAAGCACGCTGTTGCCCCAGCTCCCATCCAGACGTCACTCCTTAAGTCTTTGCAGCCCTAGAATTGCCCAACCGATCCCACACCCCTCCAGGCCTCTCAGTCAGCTTTACCCCTCCTCCTGCATCGCTCCTCAACCCACTCAGGCAGTAGACCCTGCTGCCTCTGAAGTTTAGTGTTAGCTCTAGAGGCTATACACTGGGGAGCAGTGGCCAGACCCAGCCCATAATGGTGCTCGATGGGGCTCACCCTGTGATTAAAAACAATTTGAGCCAACGTTGGATATTGGAGGACAAAGATCTGGGTTTCTTATGCCATAATCTATGTGTGTCTGAAAATGGGGGGAAAAAAGCTTTGACAAGGAGGGCCATGTTTTAAGAAAAAAAGGGGAGAGACTTGCTCTGTGGAAGTAAAGAATAGTCTTCCATGTTTAGTATGCAACAGAGAGAGCTGGTGTCTTGCCTTCCTCGCCAGCTTGTCTTACTTGTTTATGTGACTGCTTATGTGCTGCTGGCATTTGAATGTGCTGCCTATGTTTGAAGCTCCCCAGTGCCCATGGCTTGGCACAAGCCCTAATTCTTTTGACCTAGAAAGTTTGGGTTTTTTTTTTTTCTCCAGCCATTTCTTTCTTTTTCTTTAAAGTTTGTGTTCAGTGCACACCAGTTCTATAACATGAGGCATTACTATGAATCAAAGCATAAATATACAAACACGATAATACAAAATTCAAAACAGGTGTATGGCACTGAGGTATGAAATGAAAGTGTTCATTCACACATGATAGCTTCAGATCTGTGCAATCTGGTTGTTCCCATGTAGGTTTCTAAAGATGGGGAAAGAATGTCTGGTCATCAAGGCTACTGTGGCCATATTAGATGATGGAACACTAGAAAGTTCTTTGTAAGAGCTTTCTAGCTTCCTAGCTGGTCTCTCGGCCTCCCAATTTCTTTCCCCTCTGATCGCCTCTGTGTGTCATAGCTATTTTTCTAAAACATAGACCTCACTTTATTGTGCAAACCTGATGGCTCCTCACTACTCAAAGATCCAATCTAGTTCCCGGAAGAGAATACTCCATAGGGTTCTTCACAGCCCAGACCTGACTGTCTTCCCAGCCACCGTGGCCAGGAAGCCAACACTCCAGTCAAGTCAGTGAACTTGCTGGTGGTTTCTGTGCCTTTGCACATGCAGTTCTCTCCCAGATGACCTCCCTTCTCATCCATCTATACAATGCCCATATCCCCTTCTCTGAGACCTGTCACTTGCCTGGCTCCCTCCCTCCACAGCCCTTTGCTGTTATGGCACGTCCCACGTATAATTGGAATCCTCAACAGAGCCATCTCTCGCTAGACTGGGAGCAGTTAATTCCCCTTAATCTTTTTTTCTTTCAGCCCCATAATAGAGAGATAATGCCGTGGGTACTGCATAAAGATTTGCTACATGGAGACTTGATCTTCAATTTCTATCTTTTATGACATTATTGCTTCATAGTATCTTCTGTTTTCATGATAGGATGGGTAAATTTGGTGGTGGGGGAGTGAACTGTACATACAGATTCTTAAATCTTTCTCTTTTTAATTTTTTTAATGTAATTTTTGTTGTTCCATCTCTTATGATTGGACCCTCATATTGGAAGCCATTTGCTGTTTAATTTTAATGAGGCTTACACCTATAGAGGTATAAGAATGAAATAGAATGTACTTGAGAAATGTGAAAGAGAGAGAGTTACTACTTGTACTTAAAAAAAAAATTCCAGAGTAACATGCCAGCTCTTCTTCCATTTGTCTCCTTTGGTTGTCAGTGGAAAATAATTTTGGCTGCTTATTTTCTAAATCCAGAAAGTAAAATTAAATACTAATCTTTCCTAGACAGAAATTCACTTATTATCCATTTTCGAGAGCCTATATGTACCTTATGCAAGGTGCTAGGAATAAAAAGACATTTATCGTATTTAACAGGTACTTATTTAACATTTAATATGTTACATACACTGTTTTAAATTATATCAGTTATCTATTGCTGCATCCTAGAACACCCCAGAACTTAATGACTTAAAACAATAACCATTTTCTTTGCTTATGATTTTCTGGGTCAGCGGGTTGGGCTTAGTTCAGCTCGGTGGTTCTTCTGTTGGTCTCTGGATGCCTCATTTGACCGACATCATCTGGTAATTCATTTGGAGCTGAACTGTCTAAAGTGGTTTGACATGTGTGGCAGTTGTTGTTAGCCATTGGCTGGGACACTTATCTCCAGCATGCTAGCTCAGACTTGCTTAAGTAACAGCAATACTTAAGAGAGCAAGCAGAGAAGCCATGAGGCCTCTTAAGGCCTAGGCTTAGAAGTTGCAGAGTCACTTCTATTGCAGTTTCTTGGCCAAAGCAAGTCAGAAGACCAGCCCAGGCTCAAAAGATGGAAAACTAGACTCTACTTCTTTTTTTAATTTTTAAATGGGCCACGAAAATTCTCTATAAACAGACTTATTTAATCCTTATGACAGCTTGAGGTAGGTTCCATTATTATTCCCACTGTTCAAGAGAAAGGGGAGGCACAGCAGAAGTTATGTAACTTGCTCAAGCTCACACAGTTTGGGACAGTACAGGGTGATATTCCTTTGAAAGGTGCTGCTCATTATTTTTGCTTTACATCCACTGTTATGACCACCTTATTTCTCCCTGAAGCTGTGAGAAAAAAGGGTCATTCTCATTTGCTTTGTGGCTTACATGTGTTATATACATGTTGTACCACTGAACCGTCACAAGTAGTCTGAAATGGAGGTATTATTCCCGTCACAAGTAGTCCGAAATGGAGGTATTATTCAGATGAGGAAATTAAGGCTTACGGAAACTAAATACAAGTCATATAAGTGGATGCCAGCCCATTGTTCCATATACAAGAGTCTGGTCTCCCTAAGTAAACTATAAATGTCCTGGGGCAGGTTTTTAAAAAAATTTCCAGCCAGGCTTGGTGGCTCAGCCTGTAATCCCAGCACTTTGGTAGGCCGAGGTGAGTGGATTGCCTGAGCCCATGGGTTCGAGACCCACCTGGCAACTTAGCGAGACCTCATCTCTACAATAAATCAAAAATTAGCCGGGTGTGGTAGTGTACACTTGTAGTTCTGGCTACTTGGAAGACTGAGGCGGAAGGATCGCTGGAGCCTAGCAGTGTGAGGCTGCGGTAGCCAGGAGCGTGCCACTGCACTCCAGTCTGGGTGCCAGAATGAGACTCCAATTAAAAAAAAAAAAAATTTCCTGTTTGCATTTAGAAAATGTTTTTTAAAAAACAAAACCTATTGATTTGTCCATGACAAAATGATAACCCATACATTTCACAAAAGTGGCTGGAATAATAAACATGTTTTTTCAGGTGTTTGGTGGAATCCCAGAATAGAAGCAAGATGAATATTCCGTTCCGCATTGGCAGCGCCAAAGGAGATGATGCTTTAGAAAAAAGATTTCTTGACAAAGCTCTTGAGCTCAATATGATCTCCTTGAAAGGGCATAGGTGAGTATATCTCCAGTCCACAAGCTTGACAGAGAATTGGCTTTGTTTTTTCAAATGAAACAAATGTAAGAACCTGCTCAGCTTGGAGTAGCTATTATGTAACTTGTTTGGCAAAACCAGCTGTCATGGTGATATGCCATCTTCCTGCTGTTTCTGGACCCTTTGCACATTTCCCTGTCTGTGATTATAGTGGAGCTATGTCTTTCCATGGGGATTTTGTCAAAATTACCTTTGAAAATTGCTTAAACTGTGCCTACAGGGCAGAGATGGCTACCCCACCTCTCACAAGACCAGTACCACTCCATTCTTTTGTTAGAACATCCCTGTTACTCCAGCCAAGCATCAGATAGAGTAGTTCGTCTTGCATGCCCTGTGAAAAATAAACACACGAGAACAGCAGCGACAGCCCATACCCCTTCCGCTGGCACTATCAGGGCAGGCTTATGAACGGCGAGCAGAATCGCTATCTTCATCCAACTTACCTTTTTTTCTTCCCCTCAGCTTGTTTTGTTTCTTCGCCAGGGTGAATAGTTTGAATTAATCTAAGTTGAATGTGGGCATGGTGAACTTTCACTGCCATAAAGGAGAGTTTTCTGATGACTGAGACGTGTAAAGCTCCATACCACCTGTCAGGGGTTTTCAAGTGGGAGGTTGGACATGATGGTCTCAGGTGCCACAATTCTCACTAGTCACTAGAAAAAGAGTCGTTCTGGTGCTAAATAAGATGTTTTTGTCCTTAATGGTTGGATGTTTGTTCATTCTAGGTCTGTAGGCGGCATCCGGGTCTCTCTGTATAATGCCATCACGATCGAAGATGTTCAGAAACTAGCCGCCTTCATGAAAAATTTTTTGGAGATGCATCAGCTGTGAATACATCCTAACCAGCATATGCTCTGCCCCTGAGCAACATACAGAATTTAAAGTAACTTGAGGATGGCTGCAAAAAGTTAACAAACACGGTTTTTTTTCCTCAAATGAACGTGCTTATGATAGATTCTTCTTTTTTCAAAGAACAACAGCAAAATATCCACAGCTCTGCAAAACTGGTGGGACCTAACAGCTGCCTTAATTCTGGCTTGAACTGGAAGCATTTTTAAATCTTCCTGTTGCTTTTCTGATGAATTCCTGCTTATTTTGTCTCTCCTACCTTTTCTAGCTAGATCTCAAGTATTCAGACTTGCCTGTGGTGTTAATAAGTTGCAATTCATCAATTGCTGGAGTCCTGGGAACACACAGCATGGAGGATAGGTGGGGTCTACCAGGTGATGAATCTCGACAGCAGTGGGGTCTCCTCTGTCCTGCAGCTGTCAACATTGACCCAAGTTGGGTGAGTGGAGTGTTTAGGAGGACCAGGCAAAAGAGAGCAAACTCTTTATACTGTTATACTCACAATGAGAGAAAGGCGACATGCTATATATATGTTACTATAGCAAGGTCTGTTTTTAATCCATATACTTTATATCTCTATGCATTTATATTTCTAACAATACGGTTCTCAGTGGTACATGTGGAGACCTAGAATTTGTTAAATCCTTGACCTTGTTCATTATAGCATTCCATTAGCAACGTTGTACCCACTTCCCATTTTCCCCCTCCTGTTTTTAAGCTGATTCACAAAAAGAAATTCTTGATTCATTTTTTACTCTTCTCTCTGTAGGTGGAAGAGAAGGTTGGTTGGTTTGCTCTTAATTAAGTCATTAAACTGAAAAGTTCTGTTACACACCCTTGTTTTTTGTTCGCTTGACTGTTTTCTCTGTAGTGTGTGACCAGAGTGATACTTTGAATTCCAGATCTTTGCTGAGAAGTCTTTCCCCCTATTGTTTGTTGTCAGTATTTTATGTTGAATATGTTAAGAATAAAGTCCTCAAACATCCAATTCCTTATCAACGAATTTATCTACCTGCTTTTTAAACAAATGGTTCTTTTAAAAAACATGGTGGGAAACTAGAGTCTAAAAATAGACTCTGGCAAGGGTAATTTAGTACAACCAAAGGCATACGACTTGAATCTTCGGCATCTATTTTTTAAAAATTCAATGCAGTGTGGTAGCTTTCCATTTCATTTTGGAATGACTTTACCAGCAAACCACCTTCCACTGCAGCCCAAGGTGTAAAGTTCTATGAACTCAGCCCCACTTAACTCAGAAACGGGCCAGGAGAATCGTTTTGAACTATCTTCTTGTTTCATTTGATTGCATAATGAGGATCCCACTGGTTTCTCATCCTTTCACTGATTGGTTGGGTCCCCTGGTCAGGTCTCAGCCTTCCTAGGCTTGGTTCTCTCAAATGTAAAAGGAGGTATGAAATAACTCCCCCACTTATCGCAGGGGTGTTTAAGAGTTTGAAACAAGGGCTCGATGCAGGATGTGAATAACAACCACAGTAAACCCTTAAATCGTAAAAGCCAGCCATTTTATAGAATCCTTAACTTAATGTTCACATACAGTAGTTGAAGGGTACAGGGAACAGCTAGAGGGGCGGCTCCCAAAATGGCGCCGAACATGGTAAAGCCACACTAGACAACAAAGGCCCTAGGTTCCAGCTTCATGCACGATTCCCCTCGCCCACAAAGTTCAAACCTGCAAGCCTCCAGTCATTTACCATGACGTAGCTAGCTTTGTTATACCCACCCTGCTCCCATGTCGCTCCTCCAACAAGAACCTAGCACAGCCCCTTCCGGCTACACTTAGTAAGACCAGCCTTCCTGATCCCTCTCCACCTCTTCCTAATTTTGTTTTCATCTCTTCTATTGGGATAATGTCCCTTTTCTTCGTTCTCATCAGGACGACCCTGGTATCTCATCACAGCATCTCCATTTGTTCTGTAAAGTGCTGAGGTGCCTGCGTCTCTGCCTTCGCATAAAGCGTGGAAGGACCATGGTTCCTCACCTCCAGCACCCCTGGCATCCTGATTTGCCCATGCGAGCTGCTTTGTAATTGTCTGCTTACCGCATGAAAATACTCAGGTCACATTGGTCTCCCTGAGTATTGTCAACTGAACTTGGAGGAAAGGCAGAGAGGTACCATCTCTCACATATGTGGACTTATTTTTTTCATCCCAAAAGCTTTGTATATGAGTACAATTTGATTTTCTACTAAGATGATCAAAATATGATTCTGTGGTTGAACGTGGATATTTAAAATCTTGGAAGTTCCCTTAGAACCAGCTTTAGAAATCTGAAAACTTCTGGCAAGTGGTCAACAACTACATACAGATAAGAAATAATCACTGCGGTCTGGCCACACAGGGCGGTTCTGGAGCACCATTGCTGGAAAATATTCATCAGAGTAGAAAAACTTGACCTTTGTATGTCTCGAGGGAATGAACTGGTACCAATCTGCTGACCACACAGGGAGAGGTGAAAGGGGAGGTGAGGACACAGGCTTCTGGGTCAGCAGGCTGCAGGGGCCAGAACCAGCCAGTCTTCCCCTGAAGATGAAAGGAAGGTGGATAAACAGGCTTCTTTAGGGCCGTGCAGGGGATGTGTGACAAGCTGCCCCATGTTCCTTTGGACCCTCTAAATTTTACTTCTTCCCCAAACTGAATTTGGAACTTTATTTTTCTCTTTTAAAATTCTTTACCACACATAATCATGCCAGTGGCATCCGACTGAGAAACAACAAATCCGTTCCTGTGTTCCTTATGTTTACCTCCACACACTGTTTTGGTGCCAATATCGCGATTCTGTTTTTTGTCTGAACAAGACACAAAATTGTTTTCTGTCCCTAACTCCTCAAGCCCCTGCTAGTCTCTGTTTATTGAATTGCTATCTCACTACAGCTTGGCTGATGCCGGAAGGCTTGGCATGCTCTTAGGTGAACTATGTGAGGTAACAAATAATTAGATCCCCTTCTGCTTTTAGAGCTGATGGGGCCACTAAGACCCATAAAAATGGACAAGACTCATTGATAGATTAGATGTTGTCCAATTCTGCCAAAGGCATTACCTGGTCTGGCCTTGTATCACTCCATGATTAATGTTTGTTGTATCATGTTCTTTGGAAGGGAAATAAAATGAGGAAGAATTTCCTCACATTTGAGGGAAATGAGCATAATTAAAAAGTGAAATGCTACCGAGTCTGCTAAGAAATCAATCACTTTAATTGGAAAAAAGATTCCTTGCCTCTGTCAGTAATTGGGCTCTTGGTAATTTAAAATTGGAATCCCTGACAGCTTGTGATAAATTGGCTCCTTTTGGGCTAAAGAAGGTAAGAAGTTCTAATTACCCCTGCATTATTCCAGAGTGGATGGAAAATCTTGATCAAAGAGGTATTGGAAGAGAGAGAGAAAAGCTAGCAATGAGCAAAGGTCTATTGAATTTATTTCAAGAAGTTAAAGAATAAAATTGTTCATTTGATGTGACAGAAATAAGAGCTTGTGGTATTTGAAATTCTAGAGATGCAAATTGGATTTTCTAAGAAAATAGGGAACTGGGCATATTAAAAAAAGTTTACATATGCAAAAGTTAGGTTATACAGAAAGCCCTGCTTACTTGTTATCACGCACATGAATATTCACAACCTTGAACTTTTCTTAGGAGAAAGTAGGGAATTTGTATTTTGAGGGTTTATGCATGTAAGTAATCTGCACTAAGTTTAAGGAAATGTAAACTGTTTCATTTGAGTGAAAAATTAACTTAATAGAAAATGGCAGGGCTTTGATGAATGAACCCACTGACCCCCATCTCTGTTAGTAGCCTAACCTTTGTTTTTATGTGTATTGCCTAAGAAGGTCTGAGGAATAGGTTGGGTTTCAGGTTGATGCATTATAAACTTATTCTGAGTTGTGTGCATTTTGCTTATGCCCATCTACAATATCTTTCTATATATTATAATTTATATAAATATAGACATAATTTCACACTTACAGAAAACTTGCAAGATTAGTACAAAGAACTCTTGTAGGCTGGGTGCAGTGACTCCCAGCACTTTGGGAGGCCAAGGTGAGAGGATTGCTTGAGGCTATTTGTTCGAGACCAGCCTGGGCAACATAGCGAGACTTCTTTATAAAAAAACCAAACAAAACCAAAAACATAGATGCATCACCCAGATTGATCAATTATTAACATTTAGCTTCACTGCCTTTGGTATTTACTCTTGGTATATACATACTGTTTTTTCTGAACTGTTTAAGGATAAGTTGGAGATATTGTGCCCTTTCATCTCCAAATAGTGTTTATCTCTTAGTAACAAGGACATTCTCTTACATAATCAGAAAAATCATATAAATCAGAAATTTAACATTGATGTATTGAGGTAATATACAGTCCATATTTTCAAAAATTTACAATTATCCCAGTAACAACTTTTGTAGCTATTTTTTTCAGCCCAATATCCAGTCCACAATCATCCATTGCACGTAGCTGTCATATACCTTAGTCTAAATATGAAATAATTCTGCAACCTCTTTACACATCATGTTATTGACGGTTTATGAAAAGCATAGGCCAGTTGTGGTGTATCATGTCCCTCAATCTGGGTTTGTTCAAATTTGTTTCCTTAGACTGTTTCAAGTTATGCATTTTTGGCAGATTAACCATAGAAGCAATATTATGTCCTTCTCAATCATCTTAGCAGTAGGCACCCGACATTGGTTTGTCTTACTGGTGGTATTGCCACTGGTGCCTTGGTTAAAGTGGTGTCTATGAGGTTTCTCCAATGTCAGGCTATTACTTGTCTCTTTGTAACTAATTAGTCGTTATGAGACTCGAAATATCCTGGTCTCCATCAGACAAATTGCCTACAAGTACCATAAAAAGGATAGTACAAGTGGAATTATTTGATGCAGAAGGTGAAGTGATTTATTGCTTACCTTCCACCAGTATTTTTACAACCTGTTCCTCCCTCCAAAAAAACACCCCAAAATATAAGCGAAGGTGTGCAAAACAGTACATTGGGAAGAGAAAAACCAATAGCCAGAGGATATATATTCCAGGAGCCCTGAGCAAAAAACGTGTTTGAGAATGTAAATAGGGAAATGTGAACAAGGAAAGGAAAAAAAGAATTTCCTTATCAAAATATAGGGGTTCAACTTGTAGGGATTTTTTCTTCCCTGTCCAGTCTACTGTATTTATCTCTAGGATTTTTAGAAGTACAGCCCTTTGGCAACACATACCTTTAATGGCCAGATCATGAACCACACAGCGTGATTATACTTTGAAAGATGTCATATAACAATCTTAAGTTAAAGTTGCCTCTGATGACTCTAGCTCAGCAGAATGGTCCCCAAGAGAATAATGAAATCTTGGCTTCCTTCCAGCCAGGTAAAAAGCCGAAGCCATCTTAAATGCCTGAGAAATGAAACTTGAAGTTGAAATGTAAAAAGTTACAGGTCATTGTTGGGGGTGAGGGCGGAGATGATCTTATCCAGTAGAGTAAACGGCAGCTAGAGGTTGAATCATTCCTTTCTACTCCTTCCCCGTTAAAAAAAAAACATAGCTTTTGAGGTTGAAAGTCCAGGGTTGAAGCAGAAATCTTCAGGAGTTATTGGGAAATGACAGGTGAGCAGATTAATCTCAGGTAGCAAACATTCTGCTATAAGATACATGGGAAATACTTTTGAATTTCTGATGCATTTAAATCTAGGGCAATATTACACATTTTTTAAGGAAATAGATTCAAATTAAGGCTCTGGCTGTCACCTCCATTAAGACACCCCCAATTCTCCCAGCAGCACGTTATTCAACAGACACACTAGTTATTCAGTATCTTCCATGAGCAAGGTTCTTGTGGATACAGGGGCAAGCAAAACAATCAAGGTTTTGTATCAACTAAGACTTCGTTGGTCATATCACGATAGATAGAAAATTTGATCCAAACTGGCTAAAAAAAACCCAAAAAAAATATGTTGATGTAACCTACTCTTGCAGTAAATAATCCAGTCCTG